ATGTTTCTGTTCAGTTATTAATAAATAGATGAATGTTTCTGTTCAGTTATTAATAAATAGATGAATGTTTCTGTTCAGTCCCTGAGATGATTCTGTTGTGACCTGGAGTTTTAGAAATAAACTGAATTAAAAACAGTTTTTATAAAACGTTGAGTTTTGATGCTAACAGCTGCTGTAAAGATTTAAACTGTTTATCTTCACTGTGATCGTCAGAAACACTGAAGGACGGCTTCAGCTCCTCCTTCAGGATTCAGCAGAACCTTCTGTAACCCGATCAAACGCTGAGTTCTGATGGAGGCCCGTCTGACGTTTGGGTCGTTGGAGCTGAGGGTGACTCATCCATGCAGGCTGCGCTCCCACCGCAGCCGAAGGGGGAACCAGGATCTGACAAGTGCCAAGCTGGAGGCCAGCCTCCCAGCTCTCCACCCAGCTCATTCTTTCCTACTCGGGCACTTTGGACGGGCTTTCAGACGGAGCAGCACCAGAACCGAGACATCACCCAACCTGCTTCCTCTTGCTTCAGCCAGACTTTAAAGGTAAAGCAGACACACACACGGTCGTTTCACCACAGATTAGTCTTTAAGTTTTGGGTGGAGTCGTTGACCCCACCCTGCACTCCTGAATCTTGCAGCTTTTGTTTGTTTTATTCAAATAAAAGAAGCCGGACTCGAACTACCGGAGTTTAACACTTTGTCTTGTGGAAAATGTAGCACGTTTTATTTTTATCATATTTTCAGTTCAGGCCGGTGAATTGAAGGATCTGATCAGGGACCAGGACGGAAGGTGAATTTAAACAATCAGCCTCAAGAGAAAATATTCTTTGATGTTTCGGCTCCACAGGTGAGATGGCCACGCCCAGAAACACTCCCCGAGGTGCAAACACCCCGCTGTCCCCCAACCGGATCACCCGGCTCCAGGAGAAGGAGGACCTCTGCAACCTCAACGACCGCCTGGCCGTGTACATCGACAAGGTCCGCTCTCTGGAGGTGGAGAACGCCGGGCTGCGCCTGCGCATCACCGAGTCCGAGACGGAGGTGAGCCGCGAGCTGACGGGCCTGAAGGCCGCCTACGAGGCGGAGCTGGCCGACGCCCGCCAGACCCTGGACTCGGTGGCCAAAGAGCGGGCGCGGCTGCAGCTGGAGCTGGGGAAGCTGAGGGAGGACCACAAGGAGCTGAAAGCCAGGTGGGTTCAGGCCCTGACGGGGGGCCCTGGAGCCTCAGGGACCCACGGGGGGCCCTGGAGCCTCAGGGACCCACGAGGGGCCCTGGAGCCTCAGGGACCCACGGGGGGCCCTGGAGCTTCAGGGGCCCTCAGTTTTTTTAAACGCGCCCCTGAGAGTCTTTAAGAAAAAACATGAAACATTAAAAACTGACTCCAGAGGCTTCACTGAGGCCCGAAATAAAGTTTGTTCCAGAAAAGATTTAAAATCAAAACGTTTAAATTTATAAAATTATAACTTTTGTGGACCTCCAAACCAGTTCAGGCCAGTGTGGACCGGCAGCAGAGACAAACTGGGCCCGTCGGTACCGTAAAAACTGGAGGAGTCTCCAGTCTCATGACGCTCCATCTCCTCGAGGTTTCAGAAGCTCTGAACAAATCTTCCTGCGTGGTTTTAATGTTCAGATGAACCTGAAGTCCTGCGAGCGGATCCAGCTCGTCCTCAGCAGAACTCATCTGAAACAAACCCGGTCCAGGTCAGCCTGAAGAACCGGAGAACCCCATTCTGCTGGATGAAAACGGTTCAAAGTGAAATAATTTAATTTCAGCTGACGAGTGAAGGAGTTTCTGTGAGCGGCCCGTGGGTTTTTAATAACCTGCAGTCTGCCACATTCAGACTCCGATGACTCAGTCTTTCCTCCTGGTTCTGGTTCTGACCCGTCATCACAAACGTGGCAGGGCCTCCTTCAGGTTTCCATAAACACGGAGAGTATCCTTTTGTTTGGTGAAGCCGAGCCGTCGCCATGGCAACTGTGGTTTGTGGCCTGCAGCTTCACGAGACAAACGCTGCAGGGTGAGTCAGAGGCTTTCCTCGGGGGCGGAGCTGAGGGGGGGTCCAGGGGCCCACCGCCCTCTGCAGGGTGAGTCAAAGGCTTTCCTCAGGGGCGGAGCTGAGGGGGGTCCAGGGGCCCACCGCCCTCTCTGCAGGGTGAGTCAGAGGCTTTCCTCAGGGGCGGAGCTGAAGGGGGGTCCAGGGGCCCACCGCCCTCTCTGCAGGGTGAGTCAGAGGCTTTCCTCAGGGGAGGAGCTGGGGGGGGGGTCCGGGGGGTCCACTCAGAACCTGACTCTGACTTCAAATCAAAAATCCAAGATGGCTGCCAAAGCTACATTTAAATGACTGTAAATCAGCTTTTTTTACACATTTAGAGCTGAAACTTGGTGAAGTTATAGCTGAGAACGTTCACATCCTGAATCCAAGTCAAAAATCCTTGCTAAAAGTTAAACGGAGCAAAAGGAGACTCAAATGAGGCGAGTTTGTCGAGGCAGACGCGAGAGAAAATGTTTTTAAATCTATTAAAGAGAACTTCGTGTATTTTTATGGCAGTTTTTGTAAATAAGAGTTATTGAAAGTATTTAAAGTTACAAAAACAAAAAGTCGTGGCAGAAAACTCCAGATCGAACTGAGCGTTTTATTATAACTGTGGAAGAAGTTTGGTGTAAAAAATGAACTATAATTTCCTGCAGGATCAAGTTCTGTCTTATCTTTTCTTATCTTATAAACAGGAAAAGCAGAGAATGCTGACTCAGCGTTTTTTCAGCTAAAGCTCTTATTTTGATAATTTATCATAAAATCCACGATTTTACTGCAGCAGCTTCTTTTACCTGTTTTTGTGTAAAGGTTCGGTGAAACTACAACAGGTGTTTGTTTTTTCCACCGTGAACCTCGACCTGCACAGGGAACGCTTTTATTTCTGAGTTTTAGTAGAAACGTTTTTATTTGCAGCACGGGGCGGCCATGTTGGACCGAGATAAAACTTAAAAAATAAAAATATAAAACTCTCTTTGCAAACAACCCGAGGTGGTTTTAACCTTTCAATAAACTGATTTTATACTTTGAAGCTTTTTCCAGTTTTTGCTAAAACACGTTCCCAACAGAACTTTTATTTTGAAAGGATTCCTTAAGACTCCAGCTCACAAACAGATGAAGTCCGAGACTTTGACTCGCTCATTGTTCCTGAATTAGGCTGAATAAAGTTTTAATGAGTGCAAAAAATGTGAAATTAGCTGAAAAATCTAAAATTAGCATAAAAACAACTAAATAGTAGCTGAAATAGCAGAAATAGTTTAAATTTGCAGAAATAAGCTGAAAGAGCACAACAAGCTGAAATTAGCAGAAATAAGTTAGAAGAAACACAAAAATATTGTAGTTAGCAGAAAGAAGCTGAAAGGAGCACAAAACAGCTGAAAGTAGCTGAAAACAAGTCAGAAGCTGAAGCAGAACAAAATGTGAACGAAGCAGTAAAAGGTTGTAAACACGTAAAGATTTAAAGGACGTAAAATGAGCTCGGCTCATTCTCTACGAGGAAAAAATGTCAGAAAAGGCTAAATGTTTCAAACAGCTAAAGTTGCACCAACACCAGACGTCACAGCAGGATTGTCCTGAAGGAGCCGAACGTTTTGATTCGTGATTTGATGGAACATGAAAACTGCGGGACGAGAAAGATGCTGAAAAACGTACGGAATAGTTTAAAAACCCGGAATAATAAATATTAACAGGCTCACAACAGAGTGAAAGCTTCGTGAACATGAACGTTAAAACCAAACAGCTTAAATTAAACAGCCACTTCCTGCCTGGACCTCCAGCCTGGTCCGGCTCCTCGGTTGGTAAATGACGCGTTGGGTTTCTGCAGGAACACCAAGAAGGAGTCGGAGCTGGGGGGAGCCCTTCAGAGGCTCAGAGACCTGGAGGCCCTGCTCAACTCCAAGGACGCCTCCCTGACCACGGCTCTGGGGGAGAAACGGAACCTGGATGCGGAGAACCGGGACCTGAAGACGCAGGTGTCCAAGGTGAGCAGCATCTGAGCCGCAGCTCAGGAGGCCTCAGAACGTCCCCGTCGGTTTTTAACGTTTCCGTCTTGTAGCTGGAGAGCAGTCTGGACGATGCCAGGAAGCAGCTGCAGGACGAGATGCTGCGCAGGGTGGACGGAGAGAACCGCATCCAGACTCTCAAGGAGGAGCTGGAGTTTCAGAAGAACCTCCACTCTGAGGTCAGAGACCAGCGTCTCATACTGTGGGTCTGTGGGGTCCAGGTCTGGTCCTGGAGGACCTCCGTCCTGCATGCTTTGCATGTTTCTGTGCTCCAGCACACCTGGTACGAACGATGGGCCGGGTGTGTCGGAGCAGGTGAAGACCCTGCTGGAGGTCTCAGACACTCACCGAAGGTCCTTTCTGCTTCAACAGGAGCTGCGGGAGACCAAACGGCGCCACGAGTCCCGGGTGGTGGAGCTGGACAACGGCCACCAGCAGGACTTTGAGAGCAAGCTGGCCGAGGCGCTGGCCGAGATGCGCAGCCAGCACGAGCTGCAGATCAAAATGTACAAGGAGGAGGTTGAGAAGACCTTCAACACCAAGGTAGGTCCCTCAAAGACGAGGTCCAAACGTTCAGAGCTGACGTCAGGGCGACGAGCCGTGATGAAGATCTCTGAGGGTCTGACAACCAAACTGGGTTCTCAGCCCAACAGAACCCTTCTTGTGGACCACACAGCAGGTTCTGACCACCTCCGGCTGGGTGGGGGTGAGGGGGTCGAGTGGTGCAGCTACGCTGCTGAGTTCAGCTTCCAGAACAAACCTGTGGTGGTTTTAAGAATCTTTACGTCTGAACCCGAGGTTTGACTCTGAACCGTTTGGACCCTGGACAGGTTTTATCTTTACTCTTCATCTTTGTTTGGACGTCCTGAACCACGGAGACGAGTTACGTCCTCCCTCTAACTGCATCTGGTGGGTCAGGTCGGAGGTTTGATTCCTGGATGGTCTTCTGTGTGACAGCTGGAGAGCGCCCGTCAGTCGGCGGACAGGAGCAGCCACCTGGTGGGGGCGGCGCACGAGGAGCTGCAGCAGACCCGGCTCCGCCTGGAGTCCAGCTCGGCTCAGCTGGGCCAGCTGCAGAAACAGGTGAGTCCACAGAGTCTCACCATAAGCGTGCCGACAGCACCTGAACGCACCATCAGCTGCTGCAGCTGTTTCTTGTGTCCCAGCTGGCGGCCCGCGAGGCGAAGCTGAGGGAGCTGGAGGACGCTCTGTCTCGGGAGCGGGACAACACGCGTCGCCTGCTGGGGGACAAGGACCGGGAGATGGCGGACATGAGGCAGAGGATGCAGCAGCAGCTGGACGAGTACCAGGAGCTGCTGGACGTGAAGCTGGCCCTGGACATGGAGATCTGCGCCTACAGGAAGCTGCTGGAGGGGGAGGAGGAGAGGTCCGTCCCACCTCACTGTCCCCGTCCCCACGTCTGTCCCAGAGACACGAGTACTCACAGTCTGTGGTCTGTCCCTCAGGCTGCGGCTGTCCCCCAGTCCTCCTCCCACCAGGGTGACAGGAAGTCGCTCCTCCACCTCGGCGTCCCACGCCCGGTCGGTCCACGGCGCCGCTCGCAGCTCGCCCGCCAAGAGACGCCGTCCCAACGACACGGACAGCGAGGCGTCCAGCTTCACGGGCGGAACCGTGGCCCGGACCCGCATCAGCCAGCAGGCCTCGGCCAGCGGGCGGGTCACCGTGGACGAAGTGGAGCTGGAAGGGAAATATGTTCGCCTCAGCAACAAAGCTGATGAGGTGAGAGGGCGAAGACGGAAAACAGCCGAAGAAATTTACATTTTCTGTGAAAATTCAGCTGAGAGCTGAAATCTGCTGAAAAAGCTGAACCCGAGCTAAAAGCAGGAAAGTTAAAGACGAAAAGTGTCTAAATGCTTTCTCAAAACAATTAAAGTTTAGCCAAACATAAAGACTAGCTAAAGGCTAAATGTACCCGAAAAAAGTTAAACAATGGGGGAAAGTAGCTAAAATTGGAGAATGCTAGCTAAAATCTTTAATTAAAACGGGAGCTAGAGCCTAAAACAGCAATAAGCTAGCTAAGAGCTTAATGTAACTTAAAGCTAAAAGTAGCTAAACCCCAGCTAAAGACAAAAATGTTAACTTAGTTTAAAAGTAACAAAAGCCGAGCTAAAAGCTCAAAGTAGCGTAAGAAGATGAAAACAGAGCCAGCAGCCGAAGCAGATTTCAGATGTTTTTATGGAGGACATTTTTGTAAATAAAGTGAAATATTTTGAAAGTTACTAAAACTTCACGTTGTGGCGGCCATCTTGGTCCCTGCTGGCTCAGAGTGTCAGCGACTGATGTGTCACTAACTTTAGCGGTGTTGTTGTCCACGGTCTTTTGTTTCATCAGAACAGTCTGATCTCCGGCTCCAGAAAAGGTTCTGCTTGTTTGACCCAATAATCCTCCTCTGGTTCCTGCAGGACCAGAATCTGGGGAACTGGCAGCTGAAGCGGCAGGTCGGATCCAGAGCCCCGATCGTCTTTAAGTTTCCGGCTAAATTCACCCTGAAGGCGGGTCAGAGAGTCACGGTCGGTACCTGCAGTCTTCAAACAGAACCACTGACCCGGTCCAGAGGTTCTAACCGCTTGTTGTCTCCTCTGAGGACAGATCTGGGCTTCTAATGGCGGAGGAGTCCACAGTCCTCCTTCAGACCTGGTGTGGAAGACTCAGGCCTCCTGGGGCACCGGGGACCAGTTCCAGACCAGCCTGATCAGCACCAGTGGAGAGGTGTTGGACCGAAGCTGACCTGAAGGGTCCAGTTCATGGTGCAGAACGCTGATGAGTTAACAAATCAAACTTTTCTTTCAGGAAATGGCCATGAGGAAGGTCGTCCGCTCACACTTTGAAGATGAAGACGAGGACATGGTGAGAAGACTTTCATGACGACACGATGAAGAAACACCTTCAACAGCTCATTTTCATCACATTCATCCCTGAAGTTCAGCTCATGTTCCTCATGTTCATCCCTGAAGTTCAGCTCATGTTCCTCATGTTCATCCCTGATGTTCAGCTCATGTTCCTCATGTTCATCCCTGAAGTTCAGCTCATGTTCCTCATGTTCATCCCTGAAGTTCAGCTCATGTTCATCACATTCATCCCTGAAGTTCAGCTCATGTTCCTCA